CTATCCAAAGCCATCTATAGATTCAGTGCAATCCCTATCAAAATTCTAATGGCATTTTTCACAGAAATTGAAAAACTAATTTTAAAATTTGTATGGCACTGTGAAATTAAATCCAATATGACCAATGTCCTTATAAGAAGATAAGAGACACAAAGATCTATACACAGAGGAGACACCCATGTAAAGACCAGAGGCAGAGATTGGATGCATCTACAATCCAAGGAACACCAAGGACTGCCAGCAACCACAGAAGGCAGCATGAGCGAGGCAAGAATGTATCATCTCCTAGAGTCTTCAGAGAGACCATGGCCCTCTGACACTTTAATTTCAGACTTCTAGCCTCCAGAACTCTGTGAAAATGAATTTCTATTGTTTTAAGCCACTCAGTTTGTGGTACTTTATTACAACAGCAACAGGAAACTAACACAGTTAGCAAAGGCAAGATCCAGGAAACCAGAAGATGAGGCATAGCAGTGATCCATGAGTTGTTTGTTTATGGTGGGAAGAGGAGGCTATATGATGCTCCCAATCAGGGAGTAACACTGCCATTTTCCTGGAGCTGCCATAGGCTGGTCCATGCTGGATTTTTTTTTTTTTTGAACGAAGTCATAGATCTTTGGATGATGCCATAATAGGATGGTTGCAAGAAAAAAGAAAAACTTCCATTTGTTTTTTGAATGTAATCCAGGGTTTTCTGTCTTGAGAGAATATAATGTTATCACAATTGTCAAGATCAAGGATACTTCAAACCGTAATTTGTAGTGGGGTTGTGAAAATTAGGTACATACATTATAAATATAGTAATTCACAAACTAATTTTCCTCAACATATCATGTAGTGGCTTTGACCTTAATCAAATATTTAACAGTACATTTAAGTAATACTGCTAAGGATGTTGCTGGGTATAACTCTTAGTACATCACAGGACTGAAATCATCATCATCCTACCCTCAGACCTGCTTTGCATCCAGTATTTCTTATGTCGGCTGATGACATTACTCGAACCAGAAACTTTGAAGTCATTATTGAATCCATCTTCTTTCTCCTCTTTCAAGAATCTAGTTAGGAAACCATCAATTTAACTTCTAAATGATTTTCTCTCACTTTCACTACCCATCATTACTCAGTATTCTAGATCAGACAGTTCCCTTTCTGACCGTTTCTTCTTGGCCTCTTTTGTTAACTTGTCCTCTTCCTTTTCCTTAACCAGTTAATGTCAAGGCCTCAGGCCTGCTTTGCATCCTCCCACCTCACACTCTCAACTTCTCTCTCTTCCATTGTCAGGGCTTCAGTTACAGAACGAAGACTCCCGCACATACATCTCTAGCTTGGACCTCTTCTGTAGCCTCCTGAGTTGTATGCCTAGGAGTCTACTCAATATCTCTCCTCTAAGTAGATGCTCCATAGAAACTCCAATCTAAGTATTCCCCACTGATTGTGTCATTTTTCCGCAAATCTTTTACTCTTCTACTGTTTTTCATCCAGTTGCTTCAACAAGAAACCTGGGAAACCATGTTAATTACTCCTTTTTCCTCCCTTTCCAAATCATTTTAATTCTACCTCAATTCTCTTTTGACTCTTCAGCCCGGTTACCAACAATTGATACAAGTCTATCATCTTTCTTGGGCACCTGAGAAGCAACACCCTCTGAAAAGCTTCTCCTACTCTCCTCCCACCATATGCCCTTTACGCTGTCGTTAGATCTAATATAAATCCCCCAGTGCTTCCCCATTGCCTAGAGAATAATGTTTAAACTCCTTGGCACAACACACGAGGCCCTGCTTCATATGACCTCTGCCTAACTCTTCAGGTTAAACTCTCTACCTTCCTGCATTGGATGCTTGAGAAATACCTGAACTACTTGTGGCTCATACCACATTTCAGGACTTTTGTATGTGTCTTCTCTCTGCTTCAGGTGATCCTACCTCTATCTAGCTGCACACTCCTGTCCAGCCTGCCCAATTGTTTCAGTCATCACCTTTCTTGCGGCTCTTCTAGAACAGAACTAATCATTACTTCCCCTCACTGTATCTCTCAACTTTGTATATTTGGAATAATAAGTTTATCTGACTTCCTCTCTGACTAGAGTGTCCTTTATTTTTGGGAAAGGGATCATTTTCATCATGACAGTGTCTACCACAGTGCCATGTAGAGAGCAAGACTCGGTGTTTGTTGGACTAAAGTTCTGCTTGTCTTTAGATGAAGAAGCCCACTTCACATGGCATAGTCTATGGCATTTTGGGTAAATCATTTCAAGTAATAAAAGTAAAGATTTTGTTAAGCAATGATATTGCTATGTCATATAATTAGGAGATGTTAATAAAAACTAATTTAAGATAATGCTCTATAAATAGAAATGTCAATTGCTTGACTCAAATCACACCTTGTTTCCTTAGAAGCAGAGCATTTTATTGACTCTTCTCATTTTATCACCCTTCACAATCTATAAGTATGTCCTGTCTCCCCTCTCTCTAAAATGTATTCTCAATCTGCCCCTTCTCTCAGTCCCCCTGTTACACTGCCCCTCCAGGCCACCATCATCTCTGATCTGGACTACTGAAAAAGCCTCCTGACTGGCTTCCTATTCTCTGCACTGCAGCTGGAGTGTTTCTTTTCAAATACAGATCAGATCCCATAGCTCCCCTGCTACAAAGCCTCCAGTGGCTTCTCATGGCATCAGAATGTTCGAGCTCCCTATTATGGCCCACACAATCCTAGATGATCCACTCTCCTGCACCCGTGCACTCTCCTGCCCTCTCCAACTGTGCCACCTCTCCAACTGTGCCTGCACCACCAGCCCCTGCACATGACTCCTGCCCCGTCAGCAAGCACTCTCTCTATTCCTTGACCTTGTAACACCGCAGGGCTTCTGCACTTGTTCCCCACCCTCTAGATTCCTGCAGGACTGTCTCCTGAGTCACTCAGGTCTCAGTTCAAATGGCATCTCCTTAAGGAGCTCCCCTTCACCCAATTGAAGCAGCAACCAACCACGGGGTGTCACACTACCTGTTCTACTTTCTTCAGGGTCCTAACCACTCAGCGGCAGAGCTGAGTGGTAAAGCACATGAGCATGAGGGCCAGACTCCATGGGCTCAAATCCCAGCCATACCTCCCACTAGCTGGGTGACTTGGGTCAAGCATTTCGTCTTTCAATGCCTTTGTTTTCAGAATAATAAGAGTGCCTACTTCATAGGAATTGTGAAGACTAAATGAGTTAATACATTCAAAGTGTTAACCTGGCTTGTAGCAAGTGTTCTTTGCATGTTAGTTGTTATTGTTTATTTATTGTTTTGGCTCTCCTTTCTGTACATTCCTCACTCTCATCCCACTACCGTCACCACCAAGCACGTAAAATCAAAAAGAGCAGAGAGCTTACTGCCTTGCCCCTACTCCTTTATTTCCTAATGTGAACCAGGTATATTTGTTGAATGAATGAGGTATTAGAATTGGGTGTTTAAATGTATCTCACATTAGTTCCATTTTCTAAAACTCTCAGATCTACAGAAGAAGCAATGAGAATTATAATGGTTTCTTCGTTTTTCTGTTTCTATCTCTTAATTCCCTGCTTAAGGGATACTGCATAGCACTGGGAGGCAGGAGAAATAAACATTGGTTCCATCACTTACAAACTAGAAGATCATAAACAAGGTGCTCTGGGCCTCAAAAGGCTCATAAACTGAGCTTGTTATTACTGGCTGAAGATAGAGGGATGGGTCCAGTGTGGGGAGTTTTGTTGTTGGTTTGTTAGTTTGGTCATCACCTCCAAGACCTATGATTTTATGAATACAATCAAAATTCAGAAAGAAAATATTGAAGTCTACAAGGTAAAATTTTGAATTATTGTACAAATTACCTGAAAGCAAATTATGCTAATCAATCCAGTTGTCTGCTTGGTTTCTATCTCTGGGATTATTTCTAGTCACCCATCATGATTAGCTTCTAACTTTATACACATACATTCCCCCACAAACATATGCATCTCTTTCTGTTTAGAGTTATATGCTTAACTAGTAACTGCAAAAAAAAAAAAAGGTATACAATGATGATCTCAAACTTGAATGCTTGAAACATCATTGAAGCATACCCTTCATATAAATGTTTTCTTCCAAACTTTGAATAGGAAACCAGCTTTCTTCCAATAATCTAATTTTAAGTCCTGAATTTATGATTATCTCTCTACTTTGGATTAGATTAAATTTAAATTACTATATTAAGGTGCAAAATTTTATGTACCAGGTGTTTTAAGGCCTTAATAAGTTTGGAGTTCTCTAAGCAGTTCTTCCAATTTTTTCCTTCTGGATCTCTGGTTGTAATTCTGCTAGTGATGTTCTTTCTTGCACTCTATATCCACCCTTGCCCCCATGTTTTATAGATATTCTGGTTTCAAATGCTTTTTCTGCTACCATTGAGGCACTGAAAGAATTTTTGAGTGGTGTTTCCACATTTATTTAAATTAGTATAGATTCCTAGATATGTATTTTATCCAATGGTTTATAATCCATCATTATTAATTATTTTGATGTTAAAACTATGCCAGCTTTAGCCATTGGGAGACCCTTCAAGCTGCCACCTGTGTCCCTCTGAACAGTTCCCATCATTTTTGAGCATTTCCTTATCTTCCAGCACAACAGGTTCATCTTGTATTTTACCTGCCCCAGACAGCCCTGTAATCAGCCTTTTCTCCAAGGAGCCATGGCAAAGAGTTGTGGTTCCTTTTATTGGAGAATGAGATGGGAAACCAAGATTTGGGTGCTAGGTGTACTACTGGCTTGGCATTGCTTGAGCTATAAGAATTTATTCTCTTCTTTCACCACATATCAGCTAGAATTTACAGTCCTTTGCAAATATAGCTGTAGAAGACAGTGGATTTTTCTCTTTTTTTAAATTATCTTTCTCATATCTGACTCCCATTTTGAGTCAGAACAGCCCACGTGGTTTGGACAGACAGAAACTCATTACACTGAAACTGTTCCGGGTATGTTTCCCTTTGGGAATCTTCTGGAGGGAGCCCTTGGTCACAAGCATGCAATACAGATCCATGTCCTCCAGAGTCCGCTATGCTGCGCCTAGCGCAGCCCCGGAGCTTTCTCAAACCTGGAGTGACCGTAACAGTTTGCCAGGACACCGTAGAGGGGGCACGTCAGCGCTGCGACTTCCTCCAGACGCCGCCTCTGATTGGCTCCCGGGCATATAAGAAACCGGTGAATGAGCGGCTGGCCCTTGCAGAAACTTGCTGGAGGTCTTTGGGTGGCATTGCCCCTTCCTCCTAGTCAGCCCGGCGGGCGAGCGGAGCCAGGGGGAGGATGAGGTCGTCCTGTGTCCTGCTCACCGCTTTGGTGGCGCTGGCCGCCTATTATATCTACATCCCCTTGCCCAGCTCCGTGTCCGATCCCTGGAAGCTGATGCTGCTGGACGCCACTTTCCGGAGCGCACAGCAAGTGGTGAGATGTGCTGATTCTCATTCCTTCTTCTTAAGCAGTATTTAAAGGGGAAACAGAATTGCCGAACCGTGTCCCACGAGAATGCATATTTTTCTAACACAGTGAGGCGATCGCTTTTTAAGGTGGTTCAGGCTGGCATTTTCAGGGTGTCGCATTCGCCTCCTTGCTACCAGCGGGCTAGATCTGTGTCTCTTCTTCTGTGTTGGTAAGGGAGAAGGTGAAGTTCTTGAATAGATTTTGACTGTTTAGTCCTTCATCTTTTCAAAATGCCCCCCACTTTCTTGGTTTGCTACGTCAAAAACCAATTTTGCAGCATTTTATAAACCACCCCTCCCCCAGTTTTGCTCTTCTATAGGGGGCGGCAGAGAGTGAGTTAAATGTTATAGGAAGGCTCCTGGGAAAAACAGGTTCTGGTTCCTGACAATGCATCCACCTTAAAAGCAGACAGGGACACGGGTGATCTCCCAGGGTCCCCAGCGGCAGTGGTACTGTCCATTCGCAGGGGTAGCAGGCAGGGCTCATCCAAGCACTTGGGGAACAGCACCAGTCTCACAGCTGACGTGTGGTACTCAGCAACTCAGCCCAAGAAAGGAGGCCAAGGGGCCTAGCTATCTGGAGAAGAGGCCAGGGAGGTGGTGGCAGCCGGTGTTTGCATGATGCATTTGTTTTCTGCCTGCCCTGCAGCATCTAGTTTATGTCTTTGTGGAGGAGATAACCTTTGCCTGAACCAGGATATCCTTGCTTACATTGGCAGGGTAAGATTTTTCTCTACTGTATCATGGTCATGTATCTTTTTAACCTCACAGACAGGAAAATGTAACTCTCTGGTTTATTCTATGTAAGAGGCATTATTTTTAGTGCCAGACAATCTAAAAATCTAAACTACAGTCTGTAGTCAAGGTTGAGTCCTGGACTACAGCCTGCTCTACCTAATTCCTAACCCACCTCGCAGACTAAGTCTCCTCTCTTTCCCCAACCATGGGCTTTAATCTCAGGTTATTTTTGTAAACTTCTTTCAGAAATGACAACTAAAGAGAGAAAAAAACCTCATAATTTTCCCAGAGGGTAAATTTCCTTTTCCCTGTCCTTTCTAATTGTGTGTAGTCTCTGAGGCTGTCCCCTATCAAAAAGCCCCTTGTCTAGGGTACTATACCACATTTGTAGGAGGACTTGCTTTTCTTGAATCCAGCCACTTTCTCCACCCCCAAGTCCCCTGTTGTCTTTTAGCTATAGAGCCTCTTCCTTCCCTCCTGCTTACTATAATGTTGACATGGGCGAAGAATGACCATCCCCTTCTCTAGCATTGGTTCCAAGAAAGACAGTCTTCATGTAGGAAGCCCTACAGTCTCTCTCTTCCTCTAGAAATTATGTAACTGGGGAGTAACACCCTTTAAAGATTCTGGGATACAGTGGTATTAACCTGGATGGCTTAAATGGCCTTCTACAATAAAAAGAGTAGTGACTAATAATAAGACTAAGAAAAACAGAAAAAAAGAATCAAACTACTGTATTGGTCACAGAGATTATTCTTACTTTTCTGGTCACCAAGGAAATCTTCTCTATCAAATAATCTAGGAAAAGCCAGGCCTGGAAAAAAGCCTTTCTTCCCCAGTGAGGCCCCAATCCATTAAGGCATTCGGGCCCTATGGACCTCTGCAGAATGTGCCCTCAGCTGGTGTTTGGGAATGATAACATGTGTAACGCCAGGTCACAGAGATGGGAAAGATAACAGAGTGTCCTCGCTTACCACTGTGGCTTAGGAGGAGTAGGTTTGTACAGAGTGGCTCTCATCACTTGTCTTCTGAATTGTGAAATATCAGAAAGATCATTCAGACCACAAGGAAGCATGTTCTATCCAGGAAAGCAGTTTATTAATGTCACTTCAGATTGTCCTGGGGAAAAGTCAGTGTGGCTTGACACAAGTTAGTAAATAGAGCATAACTGTTAGAGTCATGCTTCCCTGAATGCCACCTCAGCCACACCATTTACTTACCTCTGATTCTCAGTTTTCCTTATAAAACAGGGCTAGTGGCTACCATGTAAGGTTGCTGTGAGGTTTGGTAATGTATTTAAATGGCTGGAACTGGTTGTAGTTATTCTTCTAAGAGTTGTCCCAAAGGGCCACTGTGGATTGTGGGGAGAATCTGTGGTGTTGCTCAATTTTGTTGAAATGATAAAAGAAATGTAAATTGGAAGTTGCTTTTATCTCATTGGTACCTAGAGAACTACCACTGAAACACATAGCAAAAAGTTTGTTACCCAGATTATTTTAGTTTGAGTTGATTGGCTCAGTTATAGAAGGAACTGGAAGCTTCTTCAAAGGTGAAGCTCGGCCTCCTTCCTAACACAGCAGACACCTGCCTAGCATCAAGAAATATGAATGCTACTTTTATTCTGTTGTCAATGGCAAATGCTTCACTTCTTGCTGCCCCTTCTTATCTCCTTTATCTTGTGCAGATGAGTCAGATAACTGAGATTATGTTCATTGTACTTTTCTTCCTTGAGGTCCTCCAATATTACCTAAGAAGAAGCTACTCAGGATCTTCCTCAAGTCATCTCAAACACAGATGCCACATTAGAGCCACGTAGGGAGCCTTCAAAAGTCCTGATGCCCATGTCACACCATATGCCAAATTTATTCAGAATGTCTAGGAGGTGAGTCCCAGGCAGTAGTATTTTTAAAAGCTCCCAACATGATATCAATGTGCAGCCAAATTTGAGAAACACGCTGCTGATGTAGAGAATGTATTTTCCTTAAACTGCTCGTTATATTGCATACTTGTTGCTAGAAATGAGCCCCTTTACATTAGCATGGATTAGTTTACCAGATTAGTCAGTTGATACTTTAGTTCTAAGAGCCTAAGGGGATAAAATACTCCCTAAGCAACTTTCAGTGTTACAGCAAAGCCAACATGAGACTTGAGTAGAAAAGCACAAACAAAAGTAGGTCTGGGAAGTGCAGTGGAGAGGGGTTTAGATGTAGATTCGACAGCAGGAGACTGGAGGAACAAAAGGCGGGAGTCTGGGGCAAGTTCTGAAGACATTTCAAAATGCTATGCAAACCAAGATCTTTTTAAAAAAGGTAATCCCAGTATGGGTGGAGATACTGAGAAGTGTACGCTGCTGAAGAAAATGTCAATTATCACAACTTTTTTGAGGACAGTTTGACATCGGAAGCTGTAGAAGCATATTTATTCTTTGACCCAGCAATCCCTCTGGATGGATTTATTTTAGGTGATCATGGATACAGATAAAGCTGTAGCTATAAAGATGGAAACATTTCACAGGTTCAAAAATCTTTTTTAACTAGTCCAAAAGCACTACCATCTATGAGAAATATGAAGGAACTTTCACCAACCTTTCTTTCTTTTTTTGCAGCATTATTTAAAAGAATGAAAACTTAAGAACAGTAAGAGGTTAAGTAAATTATTGTAAACTTATATTTTGGAAACTGCAGTCAAAAATTAAGGTTGTAAAAATAATGTTTAATAGTCTACAAATGATTTGTACTGTGCATTGAGTGGAAAAATGCTACAAAACAGCATATATGCTGTTGTCCCATTTAAAATATCTATATGTCAAAACATAATAGCTATGTATATCTATATATGTATGTATAGAAAAAGCAAAATAATATAATTTAAAATATAGTGATTTTTTTTTCTGGGCCATAAGATTGTATCTTCAGTTTTCCTATCTGTGTAGTTTAGTTTTTCTACAATGAACATGGAATTATTAAGAAATTATTTAAAAACCTTTTTTGGTAGTAGGTTTCCTACTTCTAAAGTAGAATTGATGTGTATATGCATGTCAATGTGATTAATATTTTAATATTGTTCTATGAAGAAAATAGATTTCCTTAAAAAAGGCATCCTGTGTCCTTTGACAGCTGTCACAGTGGCAGGCTTCAGGCTCAGTCAGTTAGGTGTAACACAGATTGAAAGCTTACTATGTGAGTCTGAGCTACAAGAAACTGCAACCTGGTAGAATGGAGAAGCCATGTTAATATACAGCTGTTAAAAAGGCAGGAGCTGACAGGTTTTACAGAAAAGGTGCATTTACAGGAGCTCATACGAGGGAGTGGTTACGTACAGTTCAGATGGGTGATAAAGATGATGACTAGTGGCAATAATGGTATCTCAAAGGAATTCAGAGCCAGAGCATGGCTTTTGTCTTATCTGGAACATTTCCTAACTTACTAGTTCTTGTTCTGTGTATCTTTTCAACAACGTAATGTGAAAGAGAGGTTACTGAAACTGGTATTTTTGCTGAATGTTCCCCCTATTTCTTATAAATAGTGCTTTTGGACTAGTGGAGCTAGGTTTTTCACCCTACAAAGTGATGTGAAATCTAATGTGATCTCATCTGAATTCTCTGTGCATGATATGCCTTCGGGCTGTGTTGATGTGGTTTAAGTGACAGCTCAGCTGGACACTATGCAGAACTCCAACTTGCTAACCTTTTTCATAACGATTCGTGAACTGGAATGTTTACTACTGTCAGGTAAATTTAACTTTAACACATTAGTAAATAACAAGTTTTGTCTACTGCCTTCTAGATATGCCTTGATACATATTTCCTCATGTAAATTAGAGATTTTGCCAAGCATAATAATTTTTACCTGGTTTAATGAGATTTTCTTTAAACACCTGGCAGCCAAATGGCTTTAAGACTAGCTTCAGAGCACAGTATTTTATCAGTATTAGTTCTGACAGGTGAGCAATATGAGTTAGTTTCTGTAGATAGTACCTCCCAGTGGATCCAATCAAACATTAAGGTCAGACTGATCTAGCTACAAGTGTGTAAGACAATGCCTAATTTATAGTTCTCCTCTTTACTTTTCCTAGAACTCAACAAATATGGCCCTGAATGCAGAAATGCCATCACTATTACTTTATTTTAATGGGACATCCTATTTCTAACATATGGCTTTGTGCTTGATGTGAAAACATTTCTGGGAGGTGTGAAAGTATAATAATCATTCTTAAACATTCTATTAA